TGGGGATCTGTTACAGACCACCTGATCAAGAGGAATCTGTGGATGAAGCATTCTATAGACAGATAGGAACAGCCTCACGCTCAGGCCCTTGTTCTCATGGGGGACTTCAGCCACTCTGATATCTGTTGGAGCGACGTTATGGCCCGGCACAAGCAATCCAGGAGGTTCCTCGACTGTGCAGAAGACAACTTCCTTCTGCAAGTAATAGAGGAGCCGACAAGGAGAGGTGCTATGCTTGACCTCGGGCTCACCAACAGGTGACGCTCCAGGGCAGCCTTGGTTGCAGTGATCATGAGATGGTCGAGTTCCAGTGAGAAGAGCGTGCAGCAAGCTCACTGCCCTGGACTTCAAAAGAGCAGACTTTGGCCTCTTCAGGAACCTGCTTCAGAAGGTTCCATGGGATATAGCCCTAGAGGGCAGGGGGGCACAAGACTGTTGGTTGATATTCAAGGATCACCTACTGGAAGCTCAGGAGTGTTGCATCCCAACTAGAAGGAAGTGCAGCAGGAGGGCCAGGAGACCTCCTTGGATCGATAAGGAGCTGCTGAGGAAACTTCAAAGTAAAAAAGAGGCTTATAAAAGGTGGAACCAAGGACAGGCGGCCTGGGAAGAATACAGGGATGTTGTCTAGGAAGCTAGGGACCAGGTTAGGAAAGCTAAGGCCCAGTTAGAATTAAACTTGGCTAGGGATGTGAAAGATAACAGGAAGGGATTCTATAGGTATGCAGCAAATAAAAGACAGACTAGGGACAAGGTAGGCCCCCTCTGGAAGCTATCAGGAGAACTGGCTACACAGGATTTGGAGAAGGCTGAGGTTCTGAATGACTTCTTTGCCTCAGTCTTCACTGGGAAATGCTCTGATCACACCACCCAAGTCTTGTAAGGCAGACTGTGAGAATGAAGACCCTAGGCCCACTGTAGGAGAGGAACTGGTTCGAGACCATCTTAAAAATCTGAACGTGCACAAGTCTATGGAACCTGATGAAATCCATCCGCGGGTCCTGAAGAAGCTGGCGAATGAAGTTGCGAAGCCACTGGCCATCATATTTGAGAAATCATGGCAGTCAGGTGAAGTTCCCGATGACTGGAAAAAGGGAAATATAAGCCCCATTTTCAAGAAGGGGAAAATGGATGACCCGGGGAATTACAGACCAGTCAGTCTCATCTGTGTGCCTGGCAAAATCTTGGAGCAGATTCTCCTGGAAGGCATGCTAAGGCACATGAAAATCAACAAGGTGCTTGGTGACAGCCAGCATGGCTTCACTAAGGGGAAATCCTGCCTGACCAATTTGATGGCTTTCTATGATGGGGCTGTGGAACTGATGGACGGGTAGAGCAGTTGATGTCATCTATCTGGACTTGTGCAAAGCGTTCGACACTGTCCCACACGACATCCTTGTCTCTAAGTTGGAGAGACATCAATTTGATGGATGGACCACTCAGTGGATAAAGAACTGGCTGGATGGCTGCAAGCAAACAGTTGTGGTCAATGGCTCTATGTCCAGCTGGAGACCAGTAACGAGTGGTGTCCCTCAGGGATCGGTGTTGGGACCAGTCTTGTTCAACATCTTTGTCACTGACACAGACAGTGGGATTGAGTGCGCCCTCAGCAAGTTTGCCGATGACACCAAGCTGTGTGGTTTGGGCACTGGAGGGAAGGAATGCCATCCAAAGGGACCCTGTCACACTTGTGAGGTGGGCTGATGCCAACCTCATGAAGTTTAACCATGCCAAGTGCAAGGTCCTACACCTGAGTTGGAGGAATCCCAGGCTACAAATTGGGCAAAGAAGAGATTCAGAGCAGCCCTGCAGAGAAGGACTTGGGGGTGTTGGTTGATGAGAAAATGAACATGAGCTGGCAGTGTGTGCTTGCAGCCCAGAAAGCCAACCGTATCCTGGGCTGCATCAAAAGGAGCGTGACCAGCAGGTCAAAGGAGGTGATCCTACCCCTCTACTCTGCTCTTGTGAGACCTCACCTGGAGTATTGTGTACAGTTCTGTCATCCTCAACATAAAAAGGACATGGAACTGTTAGAACAAGTCCAGAGGAGGACCATGAGGATGATCAGGGGACTGGAGCACCTCCCGTACGAAGACAAGCTGAGAAAGTTGGGGCTGTTCAGCCTGGAGAAGAGAAGGCTGTGTGGAGACCTCATAGCAGCCTTCCAGTATCTGAAGGGGGCCTATAGGGATGCTGGGGATGGACTCTTCATTAGAGAGTGTAGTGACAGGACAAAGGGGTAAGGGGTTATAACTTAAACAGGGGAAGTTTAGATTGGATATAAGGAGGAAATTCTTTCCTATTAGGGTGGTGAGGCACTGGAATGGGTTGCCCAGGGAGGTTGTGAATGCTCCATCCCTTGCGGTGTTCAAGGCTGGGTTGGACAGAGCCTTAGGTGGCATGGTTTAGTGTGAGGTGTCCCTGCCCATGGCAGTTGTGTTGGAACTAGATGATCTTAACGTCCTTTCCAACCCTAACTATTCTATGATTCTATGATTGCTACTGTGACCAAAGCTCTTCTGTCACAGGGATTCCCAGGACTAGGGACACCGTCCTTTAAAGATAACTTGTGTTATCTTTATCTTTTTATCTGTTTCCCACATACACAATTTTGTATTTTTCCTATTGAAACCCATATTGTTTACTTATCCCAAAGCTCTAATGCCTGTTCAGTGCCATCATACCTTTTTTTTTTTACAATGTACTGCAGACCAAGAGCTATTTTATCAGCATCATGTATTACACTGAATGTGCCTTCTCCTCTGCTACAATTCAGAAGTATTTCTTAGCATGTCTGTGTCTTTTTCTTCATTATTTCTAGTTCTATTATTGACCATTTGTGAATGGACCAGCTACACAAAGTCAAAATAGTGGGCTTAAGGTAGACCTGTCTTTCGAACTCTGATGCCACCAGAATTATTCTGAGGAAGTTGACTTCATTTTAACGTTTTCCAAACAAGGATTTGCTCCACCTTTATTTTACCAGAGTCCATTTTGATGTAATTCATGTAGCATTAAAAATAAAAAAGGGATTCTTTTATCACAACTTTTATTATAATTTTAATACTATCTGTCAATCTTAAAATCCATCAACTTTCTCCAGAAAGGCCACACAATTTCCTACATTTTTTAGAAAAGGGCTAGTAGTTATAACAAAAAGACCTTGGTTGAGCATTACTGCTCTGACTTCATGTCTTAGGTACCTTATTTCACAATGTGTGACTAGCTACAAAGTAATTTGGACTGCCTGGTTATTAGTTAGTCTGGAATTGTTTTGTGCAGTTATGATAATTATGTTTTTATAAGGTAAATTTGTAACCCAAGAAAAATCACTCAAAAAACCCTGGGCTGAGAGAAATTCAGTAATCTTGAGTTTCTTCTGCTAAGGACACCTTTGACATTATAACAAGTCTCCTGAACACTTTTCATTTCCCATCTATTCCTAGACATCCCTTCCTGTTCCCAGCCCCTATCCCTGCTCCCTTTCTGGAAAATCTCAGTCATGTTTCCTTCAGTGACAGCTTGACAAATCGTTGCAGTGATAAAGGTTTATCACTCCTGCTGCTGCTGTGACTCTCCCCATCTGCCTGGAAGAGCTATGGTAAGAGCACAGAAATGGACATAACCCTTTGCTGTAGCATATCATCTTCTGGACATTTTCCTGTCATATGAAATTGCAATTTATGACTCAAATTAATGAACACATACTACTGCCTCCCCTGGGGGTGTTTGAAAGGGACCTTTTGGAGCCACCAGTCTATGACATCAGAAAGCAGAAGGCCCCTTTGTCCTCTGTAGGAGCAACACCTGTACCTCCCCTTCCTGCTGGGAGCACTAGGGACAGCATGAGGTATTTTGTTTCCTGGACCCTCAAAACAGGCAGCTTCTGCTTCAGCAGCCAGGCTGCATTGCTTCACTGAGTTGCCCTGGCATGACTGCATGATCATCCTCCTGCCATCAGCATGGTTTTAAATAGGGAGCATGCTGGCATGCCTCTCCCCTCTCAGCAAAGCAGATTAATAGGACTTTTCTTATTGCTCAAGGTTTTGTATTTCTACAGCCACAGGCAGACATTACAACAGGTATTAAGCATATCAAGATCTACCTTTAAGCTTCTTTTCAAACTGCTAGCCTAGGCACTTGAGAAACACTGATTACCATCTGATAATTTTGAAATAATAATAATATGACTCTGGAAGGCTCTAAAAGCAAATTTATGTCTAAAATGTATGTAGAAAGGGGATGAATCAGAAACCAATTATGTTAATGCATTAATCGTTATACTCCTATTCAGAAATAAACGTTCATATTGTTATACCCAGGTTTATATTATTAAATCCAGGGGAGAAACAAATGTCACAAACAGGTAGCAAAAGGTTTCTCCTGGCAGGATGAAACTATGTGAACCTAAAGATCCACAGTGTTTCAAAAGGCTTGAGGCACTGTCAGAATTCAGTCCTTCTAACTGCATGTTCGTAAAAGATTCAAATCTGTTTGCATACATAGATTTTAAGATAACATGTAGATAACAGGTCATACGTGCAGGTACAGTGGAGCATTTGGAAGAAGTGAACCTTTTACATTAGCAGAAGCTTGGAAGCTCAGCAAAACAAAACTTAAATAGCACTTATTTAAGTTAAATAGCAAAAATAATGGTATGTGTATATATGTATAATTTGACAATACATTACGTTTTGCTATTCTCTGCTAAGAATGATACCTTTAATCTCTTGCTGCATCTGAATATGTATTTGACAAACATAACCACTATTTTTTTCATCAGTATTACAAAAATTGTACCTCAAATATAAATATTGCTGTCATGGGACAAAGCTTTATGTAATATATGCAAAAGATACAGTAGCATCCAAGAGTTCACATTTTGTAGCTGTTTTCATTAGGGAAAACCTTTATTAACAGTAAGCATTTTTTTCCTCAGCAAAGCTCTTTCAAAACATTTGCTAATTAAAACCTTTATATCTCTTAGACAGTAAAAGTGCTTTTTCCAACTTGCAATAGCTATGTAACTTATTTTATTAGTGGTTTAGTAATAAAGTCAGATAAACCTTTGATTTAATAATTAGCATTTATAGAGTGCTTTCTGCCTTCAAAGCACTTTGCAAACATTAAGTAATTAATTCTTGCAACTCCCCTGTAATTTGGAGAAATATATTCATACATGTTTGCCTATGGTTTAGGAAATGCAGTATTATCTTGGACTTTTTATGAAACAGAGAATTAAGACCTATGAAGTTATTCACTTAAGCCCACAAAGATGGAAAAGTCAGAGTAGGAACTGAAGGTAAACTGTTATCATGGTTTAATATGGCAGGCAGCTAAACACCACATAGCCATTTGCTCATCCCCCCCATTCCAGTGGGATGGGTAAGTGAACCACGAAGGAAAAAAAAAAAAAAGTAAAAACTATGAGTTGAGATAAAGACAGTGTAATAAGACAGAAAAGGAGGAAAAGAAATAATAAAAGAATCAGAATATACAAGACAGATGATGCACAGTGCAGTTGCTGTCCAACCACTGACTGATGCCCAGCCAGTTCCCAAGCAGCAGCCCCTGGCCAGCTTTCCCCCCAGTTTATATACTGGTTATGATACACAGTGGTATGGGGTATCCCTTTGGTCAGTTGGGTCAGCTGTCCTGGCTGTGTCCCCTCCAACTTCTTGTGCTCCCCAGCCTATTTGCTGGTGGGGTCGTGTGAGAAGCTGAAGAAGTCCTTGACTTCATGTAAACACTGCTTAGCAACAACTAAAACAAAAACAAAGACAAAACAAAAACTAAACCAAAACATCCCTGTGTTATCAACATTATTCTCATCCTAAATCCAAAATGCGGCACTGTGTAAGCTACTAGGTAGAAAATCAACTCTATCCCAGGAGAAATCAGGACAATTATTCTCCTCATGCTTTGCTGTACTCCAGTCACTCTGCTCTTTCAGTGATTTTCTCTGGAGGGGTCCAGCCAGATCTGCCAAAGAAAACCAAAGCTTTGGATGCTAAGCAGGTCCTTCCACCTTCTCTTTACCCAGCTTCTGAGGCTGCTCGCTTGTGGAATGTGCATACCTCAGGAACATGGGCAGTGGTTCACACAACAGGTTTGCCTATACATGCTGGCCATGGCTATGTGGCCATCAGACATAAAGGGACAATGAGAAGTCATTTGTAGCGTTCCAACTCAGCAAAGCAAGTAAGCTTTTTTTACTCACAAGCTGTAGGAAATTTCCTGAAAATAAGGTACTTTGGTTTTGGAGTAAATAAAGGCCATTAACAAGATTTCAAAATTAATGGCTTGTTTTCAGTGAATTTAAGAATTCCTTCGGGTACAAAGGCCTAAATATTTATGTTGTGAATTAATATTAATACTGTGCAAGTTTTTGTGTATTTTTGTAAGTGTATTTTTGTGTGAATGATGAAATAATAAGCCAGAATCAATTGTATCACTGCTGTGTATCAGTTTCTCTTCAACCAATATTTAAAAAAACCAAGAAACTTCAGGACATTTTCAGTAGCTCAACTGGGCCAAGTTGTCATAACTTACAGTGTCTTCTTCAAGCAAGAGAAACAGCAACAGAAAGATATCTGCTAATACACACTCATCATTTCATTCAGATAAGGAACACAAATAATGTAGGAAGTTTGTAAAGATTAAAGAATTAGGGGTTAAGCGTTCCTTGGTGATCTGCTATTCGTTAAAGAGTAACTTCTTGTGATTTTGTTTCTGTACGACGGGTCTGTCAAAGGAAGACTACTAGAAACCAGAACAGTGCTCCATTTTGTATTTGGTGAGCTAAGCACTATTTCTCTATGGAGATGAACAGATTTTTTTTTTTTTTAATTTGCTATTTTATTGTATTTATAATTAGCCGTCTGGAAAAAAAAAGTTCTCTTTTTGCATCTGCAGTGATGCATTGATTCTTTCATTACAGCAAATACACATGACCCCCGGTGTTCAACTGTAAACAATAATAGTTACTGGCTTCATTAGGAAGCTAGCAGATGGCTTATAAGTTCTCATGGTAGCTTTTATCCGTTTGAGGCTTGCAGTGTGCAAATGTTTGTCTTTTAAACAGGATAAAACAATGTAAAAGGGACTCTGTGCTTTGCTTTTATTAGTAGCAATTCATTTGTATTGCAGATTTGAATCTGAGTATCTGAGTGCACTGTCTGAGTGCCTTGCCTCTGCCTCTGTGGCATTTTCTGTACCAGAAGAAATGAGATCAAATACTACTTCTTGAGCTTTAACAGAGCTGTATTTTTCTTAGTAGGACTTATGTTATAAACCCAATCTCTCTTCCCTTCCCAAGTGATGCCCCCTTTCAGCAAAGAGGCAGCATTGCCTCTAGTTTACCTTACATGGACTGGGGATCACTAGTGCCATTTTGTCATTCCCAAACATTATTTACACAGCCAAATTTTTGTCTACAGTTTTGGAATACCTGATGAATAACAGCTCATTTACTGTCATCACCAGCCTGGTGCCTGGAGTGTGATGAACTTCAGGATGCTTCCCAGATAGGCTGCAGGCAGTTGCAATGATCATCAAACATAATCACCACATTTATTATGTAACTGGACAGAGCTATCTGAAGACCAGTTAATCTTCAATAAAATTTGGTAGAGCACAGTAGCTTTTTTAAAGCAGAACAGTTTTATTTTAGTATGTGAGTCTTTAATGGCTTTTCTTGTATTCCTAATACAGCCCAGGGTCTCATTACTATTTTCATGTACTGAATTTTGTTTATAGCTGGAATTGAGCCACATTATCAAGAAATAGAAGCAGGGGTTGTATATTAAATACGGTGCTAAATACTTTCAGTTCTCTTTCAAAGCACTTACATATGGTGATGCAAACTTCCTCCAAGTGTTGCATCACTGTGTTTCAACTGGATATGCACATGGAGGAGCCTATAGCTCATAGTTTGTGTTCATTCAGTATTGGCTTCTCATGGTTTCTTCATACTAAGGCATGAGCATTTGATTTTTACAACGGGAATGCCTCTCTTCAGATAGAAATTGGCCATTTGTTTCAGAAAGGACCATCAAAAATTAGAAACTTTTGTAGAGGAAAAGTCTCATTTTGAGGGCTTAAATAAACATCACTGCCTGGGTCTTGTTTTTCCTCATTGTGTAGTAAGTACATGAGTATCAAATTAGAGGGGGGTTAAGCAAACAGTGGTCTAGCGTATCTTTATGTATTCATATTGTATTTTCATGTTCTATATTCAGTTTTAAAGTTCAAAATTTCTTGTGTTTGGAGGGATAACGCTATCTCCTGGAAGAGTTACTGGAATTTTGCATCCAGAGCATTTATTTTCACTTTTTATCCTCTTCTGTTTTATTAAAAATAAGATTTGCATTAAAAACTTTCTTTCTTCTAAGCACATCTGCTCTTGCTTCTACATCACCTGGAGATCTAAACCTCTGCATGTGACATCTTCAATGAAGAATAAGCAGCAGGAACAGATGAGCTTTCAAGAAATAAAGATCCTATTTTCATGCAAATGTACCAGTAATTAAAATCAATGGGAGAAAAAAAAAAAGGCAACTCAATATGCAATACCTTCAAATTTAATTTGAGGTATAATAGTTTTAAACTTTTCCATAAGAACTCCCAGACTCTTTAAGTGGTTTAGTTTTGAGAACAGTAATAATTGTCATTCAGATTAATGGGTTAGTTTTTCTTATCAAAAGACACCTTTAAAATGAGTTTGGGGACAATAGTAAGTTTTAAATATTTTTTTTCCCCCTATGGTTTAAATAAAGTTAGTTAAATTTCTAAGTAAACTGTATTTCCATTCAGGTCTCTGTGTGAAGTATAGCCATACACAAAAAGCCAGCCTAAGGCCTACCACACAGCCCACATGACTTCCACTATGGAAAGTATGCCAAGCTGTATGTTCAGCATTTACTCTTCCTTCATTAACCATCTCACTTTTCCTGAAGGAAGCATTTTACTGAAAAACAAAGACTCTTGTCTTTACTAAGTTTTACCATTCCTTATTAATCACTTCAAAGCTTACAAAATGAGGAAAAGGAAGACTGTGGTAGTAATGCATCCAACAAGTCTATCCGTTTAAAACCACTGCAGAAATTCTGAGAGATTTAACTTATACCTAGTCTAGTCTAGTCTAGTCTATGTCTACAATAAAATAGATTTTGAGATCTTCTCATGACATATGAGCACAATTCACAGTAAAATAAAATAATTGCCTAAACACTGGACCTAGCTCCATTCATCTTTGAAGTTGTAAGGTTGCAGAGTCGAAATGCATAAAGAAGTTCTGCCATTTTATCCTATGCTATTTAAATTCATTACTCAACACGTAGAAGTAGTCACAGCTCCCAGGTGACAGGTGCACCTTTATTGATTAGAAATAAATTTATTTGTGATGGGTTTGGAAAGGCTGGGCATTACACACATACATACATACACATACACATACATATATGCGTATATATATAAACAATAGAAAGGTGCATACTTTAGATTCCACAGAATAAAGAAGTGAGGTATTGATGATTTATTGATTACAGCTTACATGTAGATGAGGAGATGCAGGAGCTGATAAATAATGTAAATATTTAAAAATTCTGTCAGAGATAATCTAAAGGGAATATTGTGATTTGCAATAATACTTGGAAAAACTCCTTCACTAATGCCTGCAACTAGAATTTCTTGTACAACAGGCTGAAGTATGGCCTGTGGACTTCACAGGGATCTGGTAATGCCCCATCTGCATAAGCTAATTTTTTCTTCTTTTGCATTTCTGACTTGTTTGGTTGGTTGGTTGTTTTTTTCCTAGGGGAGGGAGGTGGATCACAAGAATAAAGTGAGGCAGGTCTATGGAAAACCATTACTGTAAATGCTGTGAATAGGGCCTACTGCTACATTTCAGTGCTTCAAATATCAGTGGAATTAAGAAATGGAGGAGGCTAATAGAATTTGGGTTTAGCTATGGTGGGTATGGCAACCATGCTCTATTAATTTGTTTCTGAATAAGATTTACTGAAATATTTTAGCTTCACATTCATGCAAACTGTTGGAACTTCCTCATAGATTTGCTAAGCTGGTGCCTTAGGCAGCGACACCAAGTGTTTGAATTCCTTGTGATAACGAACAATTAAAGCTAACTGAAAGCACTTATATTTTTATAATTGATTTAGCAGTTGATTGTCTCTCAAGATTAATGATTCCCCTGTGCTCAGAAAATAATGTTGCCAGTTGATGCCTGAAGCCGTATTATTTTTATTGCAAACATCATAGATGAAACTGATTTTTTTGTCAATTATGATTTGAGGAGATGAAACAGTGTTCGTAAAAGTATATATAAAATACAATTTTGAAGGCCACCATATAGACCATAGTATGTCTGATGACCATTTAGTCATAAATGAGCTACCAATAAGTACATTTGATATATTAATTCTTCCCCATATAATAACATAAAGCAAGGAACTTGCAGTAAGACCTTTTTTTTATAATACAGTATCAAGAATACTTCCATTTTGCTTCTACCCTCGTTTTATTTTCATAGCTTCATTCACTACATACCTATTAGAAACACTATTAGATTTCTTCCAACCTATTAGAAAGACTTATAAAAATTTTCTAGATGTCTTGAAAGCTTTGTAAAAGAAACAATCAAATGGAAAATTCTCCAGAACAGGATCCCAAGAAACTATTCTCAAATGCATTTGGGCTATTTGCATTCATCATTGTACTCACAAAGAGTAGGAATAATACCACTGATGCCAGTTGTGCTAACAGAAGATTGTTCTGTTATGCATATTCTACCAAAAATGGTCATTACTATTGCAAAACTCAGCATTCAAAAATTAGAAACTGACAATATTATAAAAAGAAGCATTAGGAAATAGCTTTAGGGAGGGAGAGTAGGGATAATTTGCATCTTAATACATGGATACAAAATCTGGAAAACTACCAAAGATGGATATCTGAATGTCTTT